TAAATTAAAGACTTCTGCTCATGCCCGTTTATTTCCACTTTCTCCCCGGGCCTCCCTGTGTCCTATGAAATGTTGGCAGGTATGCTCTAATTCCCCTGAGCCCAGACACCATAGGCAATGGATGTGAATGATAGGAGTTATAGTCCAAAATATCAGGAGGTTGGTCAAGGCTGTCTTAGATCCATGGTTCCTTAATATGTGGCCTTTGGCCCATATAAGCTCCAATTAGCCATTTCTCTGTCCATTAGACTCCTCCACCGCTGCTGATGCCAATGATTATTATTATTATTATTATTTGAGACTTGTGATAGAGGGTCTTCATGAATCCACTTTCATGTACACACGCTCCCATATGCTCCCAAAATACATTATGCAACCTTTAAAAGTGCCACTGGCTTCTTCATCAGGCAAAAATGTTTACTGGTTGGCCCAATAATGGTATTGCTGTTTTGTGAATTTTGGACTTTATTGTACTTTGGTGTATAGCCAACATGGCTACCCTGGATATGATTTCTGGATTTGAGGATGCCACATTTTTGTCACAACAGGGGAATCCTAAAGAGGGAGCCAAGGGATTGGGACTTAACTCTTTGAGGCTTTTACCCCCAACAAAGGTAAAACTTTCTTTAATTAAGACTACATTTGGCGAGTTATACCTAAATAGCATCTAAACATTTTCCAAATGCAACAACATATACTTCTTGAGAAGTTTAATGTTTTCTGCCAAAGAAGGGGACATATAGCCTCGCACAGGACAGAGACAACCTGGATCTTAAAGGAGGTTTCTTTTTGTGTTGCTAATGGAGTTTAAATTTTGGTTCCTGGACTCTACGACTCTTTGTCTATCAGAACCCACATGGCCAAAAAGGATGATTGGACTCTGCTTACATGGATATCCCCCTGTACCATCTTAATTAAGAACAACTGGAACAACATCTTGACAAAATATAGGCGTGTGACTCCCAACATTATTCTTTTTTTTGCCCTTTCTCCTGTTTAATTTTTAACATCTTTGCCTGATGAAGGAGCCAGAAAGGTTGCACCATGTATTTTGTGCATTTTGTAGGCCCAATAAAGGTATTGCTGTTTTGTGGATTTTGCATGTTATTACACTAACATATTCACATGGTGTATCATAAAGAAACACTGCATTGAAGATTCAGTCTGAACTGTGACAGCCATGATGACAGGATGGTGTCCTAGACTTGTGACAACCCTGGGAAAGTGGTGTGGCAGTAGGATTGTCCTGCTCAATCATTTATATAATACTACCCTAGGGTTTTATAGCTCCTTACTCAAGTTCTGGCTAAAATGTGGGAAAGTATTGGTTTACTTTGAGCTTTCTTTCACAGATCCACTTGAAGATGGGATGAAGTAGACAGAAATACAGAGCGGCAAATCTGAAAGGAAATCTGTTCTTTTCCCTCCACTGTCCTTTTTGGTTGTGTGTGGGTTAAATTTTTTAGAGGATAATTTGAGATGTCTGCAGGCTGGTAAGTTTAGAGATTCACTTTGATTTTAGAATTGTCTTTGTTTAAAAAGGATTAGCTTAACCCATCAATGCAGAGGTCTTAAAATATAAATCTTGTCAAGAACAACTTATCATGTATTTTTAATAAGGCTGCATGACCTTCTAATCATTCTATTCCCAGCTACAAGTTAATGATACCAACTCAAGTTGCCATTAATACAATAATATAACTACTGGCATCACACATTTATTTTCAGCCTTGATTCTAATTAACAACTGGAATTTGGAACAAAGAAACTCTGTAAATAAGCAGTAAATCCAATTTCACATAATAAAAGTGTAATGTAATGATGAAGAACAGTGTAAGAATGGTTAGTGTAATGGTGAAGAATAGAGTCACATCAGCTGGCAGGTTTCCTGGCAATTTAGTGTTGGTAGAAAACCTAATTATAGGTTCGCTTTAGGGTCACCATAAGTCAGAAATTACTTGAAAGCAAATAACAATAACATAGAAGAATCCTGTACAATCATGTAACCAAGAATGGACAACAGGTGGCTTTCTAGCTGTTGTTCGACTGCAACTTCCATCATCCCTCATCCTTGGCTATACTGACTAGGTCTGGTGGGAGCAGCAGTCTAGCACAATGTTTGCAGGGACATAAATCCCCCATTCCTGATGTAAATTTCTGGTGCAATCCTCAAAAAAGACTCACTTTGGGGGGTTGCAGACTGCCAGAAATAGTGCAAATTGAGTTCACTTTTAGGGTTAGGGTTAGTGCTAGGGAATCATGGGAATTGTTTTTTTTCCTGAGACATTGAGCCTTCTCTGTCAGAGAGCTCTGGTGCCACAAAATGTTGTTTTTATGGACAAAATGTAAC